TTTTCATTATTTTCGAAAAACGCTTATTAATCCCTGTTCAAATTCAGTTTTTTACAATTTTAACCCTGTTTGGCTATTTTTTCAGGAACTAAACCTTCACTATATTATTCAGCATGCTTGATTACATTGATTATGTCAATATTTAGCTGGTTTAGACGGCATCTTCATTATGTTTAAAAGGTCACTAATACTATGTGATATTTTAATTTGTATTTTTGCAATTTTAACCCTGTTTGGCGATTTTTTCAGTGGTCAAACCTTCACTATATTATTCAGTAGCCTTGATAACATAGACCACGAATAAAACCGACTGGCTTAGTGACCTCTTTTAACGTGCTTAAAAATGCAACCTTCGAATCATAATATGAACTTTCCTTGTGAATGCGTTGTTTTAGCAAAAAAAAGAAATATATATTCGGAATCAGCATAAAAATTTACATTCGGAAAAGTTCATTTCATGAAAATATCCTAAGAGGTGATTTTCCCTATTCATTTGCAGGTCCTCCTTCTGGTCATATCTTGATGGAACAAAGTGAAAAGACAAATTCGACTTCTGATCAACCTTTTCTGGATCTCATGGTTAGATTACTCACAGTAACAATTGAGAATAATTTGACTGTTAATCATCAAGATGCAATTCAAGTCATTCTGGGTAAGTCTTTACAGAGCTTTTGTTTTCAGTGGCTCTTTTCGATTCTCTATTTTTATACGGATTTTCAACCTTTTTCAATCAATATAGACACATTTACCATCAATTTCTTGCAATTGTTTGCTATATAAATTTGATTATCACCATCAATATTTCCAATCTGCAATTTCCAATTTAGATTTCAAAAAGAAAAGTAAACAGAAAAACCGAAAATTAAGAATGGAGGTGTCAATAAGTCAATTAGTTGGTGCAAAAGTGAGCTTAAATCGAGAGAAAATCTATATCCACCTTATCATTAATTCATTGTATACTGATTATCAATCACATGCTGTTAACTTGAAAATACTAATTGTTCCGTAGTTAACGGTGTGTAGGCTGTTGAATACAAGATTTTATCGATAGAATTCATTTTTATTCTGGATTCAAAACTAGATTTGGACTTATCCTGAATAATTTGGCCATAATTGTAGCTCAATCAGTCAAAATTAATGTTAACTAATCCATCATCATGAGTACTTGAGCCAATCGATCGTAGGCCTTATCAAGTTGATTGAACGTTAAATAGCAATAATAAATATTAATGTACAGTTGACTACAGTTTTTCATCTTCCACTAAATGAAAGCTCAATCAAAAAAGCAACAGTTTAAGTCCAATTGTTGTGCATAATTCTAATTACAATTTAAATTACCAAAACCAGTGGTAATTTTTAAATTTGAATTTTCGGGGAAATCCCATGTAAATAAACAATTTCTAGTTATTTAGGATTTTCTAGTTTCATGTAATTACAAAACCATCAACTCTTAACAGTAAAAAGATCCATTTTCATCATTTTTCTTTTTTTACCTGAAAAATGTATTCAATACATAATGTAATTTCATGACAATAAACTCAATCATCTTTTTCTCTCAGTCAAATTCCCTGATTGTGAAGGTGATGTGTTGATATTTTGACTCCTGGGGAGTTAAACCAATAATAATAATCTATTGATGATATATTTTTTGCATGGGCGTTTATTGAAACATTTTTTTTGAGTAATTCCATATTCCCATTGAAAACCAGCAAATTCATTATCTCAAGTACTCAACTTAACAGAACAAAGAGAGACTAAATTTAATCAAATTCTAATTCCCTTTTAATCAATCAATTAACAGCACCGGCAGTATAACAGATTGTTATTTGGTTGGATGAACACCAGAATCGATTCAAAATTAAAACTAACTGATCATCTTGAAAATGGTTTCCTCTTCACCAAGCAAAACGGATAAAATGGGCATCATCATTCATTCACAACAAAACAATATCATTCCTTGTATCTAGACCAAGTTGAATCAATTGAATTGATAAATGTTTGATTAATCCAATTAAATGGTAAGTTATATGATATAACTTATATCAACATGAATAGTTATCATTAATAGATCTCATCTTGAACAAAACAACAATTAAACCTTATAATCAGATCATTTAGATTAATTATACTCTTCTTCTTCCTCCATTCAGATTCAAAGGACGTTTTCTCGTTTCATTCATGGCATTTCCACTGTTCCCACCATGATTCAACTCCCAGTGTTCATCTGTCTGCTGATTATGCATTTCACTTGATACATGCTGAAAAAACACTCTCAATTCAATAATCTTCAAGGCCTCAATATTTCATCTGTTATTTTTGATAAGCAACTTGGAAGAGACGCTTTTTTTACCAACATTATTGTTATTATCATTTGGATTTCTCCACTCTACTGTACGAATCATTGAACCATCACGATGATGCTATTATTATTTGGTCTCTTTCGTTCTCGCAGTGAAATTGTAATCAAAATGAAGAGGATGGTGAAGATGCTGATGGATAAAAGGGAAAAGATATGATACCTTAATAAGATGGTGAACATTGACAAAGAAACGAACGAAATGAGGATTTTTTTCCCTTGCATCTCTGTTTGTCACAATTGTTATTCTTTTCTTCCACTTATCATTAATTGATCACCATCAACAACTTCAACAATAACATCGTATTCCTCAATTTTTTATTGTTATCTTTTGGATTGGCAAAAATTATCGTCATCTTTGGCTCATCTGAAAACACAAACCTTTTCAAAATTTCAATCCAAAATTGAATTGAGTTTTTTTCTTCATTTTTCATTGTATCACATTGTCACCCTTTTATATTTCAATTTCAATTTTGGCTTATTGATTTTCTAGTCTCATCAATTGATGAACTGACTCTTTGCCTCTATTGACTTGAAACTTGAAAGAAAAGCTCAATTCAAGGTAACAAGCAACATTACCACCTTTTGTTCAGATAATTGATCCTGATTAATCAAATATATATATATCAATATTTGAATGCAGTTGAGAGCATTGAAAGTGAAAAATATTTTTCATGCAAAAGGAAAAAGTTGTTTTCCTGAAAAGCAAGAAAAAAACTATTAGTGAACGAATGAGCCTTTTCAGGAACATTTTGTTCATCATTTCTCATTTACAGTTGGTTGATTTCAAATGCACTTGAACACAACGAAACATTATATTATTATTAGATGATGAAAAATAAAAAACTCATAAAGTTAAAAAACTACTCTTTTTTTGCTTCTTTCATTTGCTGTTGTTGTCAACCTAACATTAAATTTTCAAAGAAACTTTCAATCCAATTGTTTTCTTCCATTTCTTTTCACCATCTTTTTCACGCTTATCCATCAAAAGGTTATCCAAATGATCTTAACTATTATAATAATAATGATCACCACCATTGACATCATTTTATCCTTGTTTGATCAAAAATTCCAATATAATTTCAATATTATCCAAGGCATTGTCAGATGAACATTATCTTTCCCATATAAATGCCTTTTGAATCATTCCCATTAAATTGACTCTTAAGTGACTTTTAATTCAAAACACTTTAAATTCAAACTTAATTGCCAACCATTTCAATACCAAGAATAAACAAGAAGCTAATGAATTGCTCTGAAAAGTGAAGTCTCTGGAAACGGATTTTACAATTATCTCTATCCTCTGACCTTTGAAAAATGAGCAAAAAAATCCAATTTCACCAAATGAACCCAAAATGACCAAAGTTTAAAATGACACGAATTGGTGAACCCAAACTGGTTCTGTCTTTGAAACCTTACCTTGTGACATGATTATGGTTAAATGATGGTCAACTGTTGACACATGAGATGATTTGATTGACGATCCAGTGTTGATATTACCAGAAATGGTCAACTTTTCAAGCAATCAATTATTTATTACCTTGGCTTCACATCACCCTGGTAATCATAGGAACAGCCAAGTCAAAAAGATAGGATAAGTTGAATGTTTTCAAAAGTGTTTCTGGTGAAATGTTTTTCTGCCTTTTCTTAAATTTTTTACATTCTGTCTGTTCACTTTTTTATATTAAAAGATGTAAAAATGTGAATCAGGAATCAACAAAATGAAGGGAAACATGGAAAAAAGCAAAATGAAATTATTATTCTTAAATATTATTCCCTCTATATCTGTAAATATCTTGTTTCATTTTAAACATTTTTAATATTACTGTTCAACTTTTATCAACATAAAACTCATACTGTATTCAGTGAAATATATAATAAAAGCATCGTGAAAACAACTCTTGAAAATCTTATTACCATTCAGAGTAGAGAATTGTTTGTCAATGAAAGTAATAGAATAAGATTAATGTGATTATATTGAATATAATTAAGCTTTTTCCTTGTTCCATTTGTATTGTAATAACAATAATGATATAATCTTTTCCAATTTATGCATCAATATTAACCAGAAAAGCGAATCATTTTCATTGCCATGGAATACTTATATTGATATAATAACTGTTAGACTAGATAAATACACATATTGCATGTAAAATTATTGGCTTGTTTGTATCAAATGCATGAAACAAATAACAAAACTTCAATTTTAATCAAACTTTAATGATATTAGTAGTTTAATTTGCTGGTATTAGCCTCATAAATGGCATAATAGTCTCAATTTGCTTTGGTTAACCCAACAACAGAAAAGTCAATTTGCTTGACATTTGTACATCTGGTTTAACATAAGATTTTGAAGTTTCATCAAAATTAGGAAGATCCTGCTTGTCATGAGCTTTTGAGTGGTATTGCTACATTGGTTTCATGGATCGAGATATAAAATACTTTTGTTATCCTTCTCTTTAAACTGAAAATTCATGAAATTGAGGTAAATATTGCAAAACTCAGTGAAAAAGTCAACTATTTTTGGATGTTTTCACAAACACGCAATAAGCTTACAACTTGAAAGGCTTTCAATCTCTAACCATTTTCATCCTTATTCACCATCATTTTGGCTGATCATTTTTATTGTCCATTCTTGGCTCTTTATTTTCTTGTTTATCAAATAAATTGAACACATTGAATAATACAGAGGTAATAATAATGATAATAACATTATCAAATGAATGGTTTAACAGCACAAAGCTCACTGTTCAGCTAATTTAACAATTTAACAATTTACAGCTAATGCCTTTCGCATGCCATACAAACTGCTGACTCTAACAGTTACTGGTTCATTTTAACCCAAACCTGGTTCACCCGCAACCAAACAAAAAAATAAGTGAAAATGGCAAGAAAATCGATGAGTAAACAAAACCTGGGAAATGAAAAAGGCTGGAGAAAAACATTTTTGCCTTTCTCAATTTTACTAATATCATTAAGTTTACACACTTTGTCAGGTAAATTGCAATGACAATTAACAATAAACTCAAGTTTAAGCAAAAACGACCCAAAAGGCTTGAACCAATCGATCACCAATGTTATTAGGGTGGCCGAAACAAACGAGTACGTTTTATTTGTTTTATCAAATTTGATTTAATTGTCGTATGGAGATGAATATTCGTAGTTAGCATCTCACACCATTCATGC